CCTCTTCTGATTGCTGAGGACATCTCCAGTGCTGGGGACCTGACGCCTCTTCTGATTGCTGAGGACATCTCCGGTGCTGGGGACCTGATGCCTCTTCTGATTGCTGAGGACATCGGGCATGCACACAGTGCACATACATAGAAGCTGGGAAAACACTGATACACGTAAAATAAATCTTTAAGAAATGTAGATTAGTGTATGAATATTACAACTTACCCATACCCACATTTATTTAAAAGTAACACATAGGAGTGCGAGTGAGGAAGACAGCTCTGATGTCCACACACAGACAAATGTACACCGCACACACAAAGAGTACTTTAGGGAGTATGGTTTGAAGGATGCTACATCTCTAAGGAGAAAGAGAGCTCAAAGGACCAGATTAGAAGAGTGCTCTCCAAGTTTGTTCTTTCTAAATTTATTATCTGTGCTCTTTCACTGGGAATTTTTTTCTCCCTTGTCTTTCTGAGGCCTCTTTCTTTCTCTCTCTCTTTACTTTTCTTTTTTCTTCCCTCCCTACCTCTTTTCCTCCCTCCCTTCCTTTTTCATTGTTTGAGACAGGGTCTCTACATCACCCTGGCTGGCCTGGAACCCACTGTGTAGACTAGGCTGTCCTGTAGAGTTTTCCATGCAGCCCAATAGTTCATTTTCTTCTTTTTTTATTTATTTTTTATTTTATTTTTATTTTTAAAGATTTATTTATTTATTATTTATACAACGTTGTTGTTTGCATGTACACCTGCACGCCAGAAGAGGGCACCAGATTTCATTTTAGATTGTTGTGAACCACCTTGTGGTTGCTGGGAATTGAACTCATGACCTCCGGAAGAGCAGCCAGTGCTCTTAACCTCTGAGCCATCTCTCCAGCCCCTAGTTCATTTTCTTAACATTACACAAATCCTAGCATTGACATCAAACACGAAGCTCAGGGTCAGATAGAGTAGAGAGTACCACTCCTGGGTACTGTACACAAAAGACTCTATCTTAGAGTCGGCATGTCACAGAGATGCTTGCACACCCATGTTTATTGCAGCACAGCTCAGCACAGCCTAGATGTCTGTCAGCACATGAATAAGGAGGGTGTGAATCATACATACGCACATAAGCACAGTGGAGTCTTATCCAGCCATGAAGAATGAAATGATATCACTTACAGGAAAGTGGATGGAAGTAGAGAGCTAGGAACAAAACAACTCGGACAGACAAGTGTCACATGCTTGCTTTCTCTCGTCCCTGGATCCTAGATTTTGAATAGGTGCATAAAATCATCGTTTATATGTATATGTGTAGGTGTGTACATGTGTATGTGTGTGAGAGAGACATAAAGTAAGAGCAAAATTGGAGAAGAAAGTATCTGGAGAAGGAAGACTAGCAGGAGAAGAGAGAGAGGAATGTGTCAGGATGAATGAAATGTGGTCGAAGCACGTGACTCGCTTGGAGTGAAAATGGCTTTATGAAACCTAGCCCTGTACAGCGGATAATGTGAAAGGACTGTCCTGTTGGTAGCCAGCTTACATGATGTCACTTTAACAGGAGGCCTCATTCTTCTTGTCTTATCTAGAACTAAGAGGAAAAGAGTGACTATGGTTTTTGCTCACAGAATGGATGACGACCAGCCACCTGTTGTTTCTGCTACCCTGCTGGTGCCCCTCCAGAACCATAGCTGCATGGAGGCCGCTGAGGCCCTGCTGCCCCACGGCTTGATGGAAGTCCAGGAGGAACACAGCTGGATGAGCAACAGGACCGACCTTCAGTATGGGCTGAATCCTGGAGAGGTGGCCACAGCCAGCATCTTCTTCGGCGCTTTGTGGTTGTTCTCCATCTTTGGCAATTCCCTGGTGTGTCTGGTCATCCACAGGAGCCGGAGGACCCAGTCCACCACCAACTACTTTGTGGTGTCCATGGCGTGTGCAGACCTTCTCATCAGCGTGGCCAGCACGCCGTTCGTTGTGCTGCAGTTCACCACTGGGAGGTGGACTCTCGGTAGTGCCATGTGCAAGGCTGTCCGCTACTTCCAGTACCTCACTCCAGGGGTCCAGATCTACGTGCTCCTCTCCATCTGCATAGACCGCTTCTACACCATCGTCTACCCACTGAGCTTCAAGGTGTCCAGAGAAAAGGCCAAGAAGATGATTGCAGCCTCCTGGATCTTGGATGCGGCCTTTGTGACGCCTGTCTTCTTTTTCTATGGCTCCAGCTGGGACAGCCATTGCAACTACTTCCTCCCTCCCTCCTGGGAGGGAACTGCCTATACGGTTATCCACTTCTTGGTGGGTTTTGTGATTCCCTCTGTCCTCATCATCTTATTTTACCAGAAGGTCATAAAGTATATCTGGAGAATAGGCACTGATGGGCGGACCCTGAGGAGGACGATGAACATTGTCCCCAGGACAAAGGTGAAAACGGTCAAGATGTTTCTCCTCTTGAACTTGGTGTTCCTGTTCTCCTGGCTGCCTTTCCACGTGGCTCAGCTCTGGCATCCCCACGAGCAAGACTACAAGAAGAGCTCCCTTGTCTTCACAGCCGTCACGTGGGTATCGTTCAGTTCTTCAGCCTCGAAACCCACTCTGTACTCCATTTATAATGCCAACTTTCGGAGAGGGATGAAAGAGACCTTCTGCATGTCCTCGATGAAATGCTACCGCAGCAACGCCTACACCATCACAACCAGTTCAAGGATGGCCAAGAGAAACTACGTTGGCATTTCGGAAATCCCTCCGGTGAGCAGGACGATAACCAAAGACTCTATCTATGACTCATTTGACCGTGAGGCCAGGGAAAAGAAGCTTGCCTGGCCCATCAACTCAAACCCACCCAACACTTTTGTCTAATTTTTAAGAATTCTTTCACTGTTAATGTGCCAGAGATTAAAAGGCTTTAACTATAAAGAGAGAAGTGCTTTACTTAGTTTTCACTAAATTTTCTGGTTTTTTTGTAAAATGCATTCACTGTTAATTATGATTTCTGTGGATTTTGTTGTGGCTGCTTTTGGTTGGTCAGTAGTGCTCCCAGTATTAAAGCCCATACAGAGTTCTTTCCTGGGCTGGAGTGCGGGTCATTAGTTAAGAGCACTGGTTGGTCTTCCAAGAACCCCAGCATCGTCAGGGCAGCTCACAACTATCTGTAGTCCAGTTTCAGGGGATTCAGTGACCTCTTCTAGCTTCTTGGGACACTACACACTTGTGGTGCACAGATATTCATGCAAGCAAAACACTCATAAAATTAAAAAACAAAAACATTTTTTGTTTAAAAGTTTTCTTCCTGAGTGGTAAGCTGACTCAGAGTAAGAGCACTTGCTGCCGAGCCTGACAACTTGAGTTCAGTCCCTGTAATCGCATGGTAGAAAGAGAGAACCAACTCTTGCAAGTTGTCTTCTGATCTCTACATAAGTGTTGTGGCACGTGTGTGCACGGCCACACACTAAATAAAGGTAAAAGAAAAACTGAAAACGCTTTGCTACTTTGGTTCTGCCACCAGGTCGGTGGGTACTCTTCACATTTTGTCTTGCTTTATTTTGCTTTTATTGTCTTTTCCCTACTGACTTTTTCTAACTGTGGCCTCCTGGGCCACTGAAATCCCATAAGCGGTGCATTCCAAGAGCTTAGGTTTCTCCAGCCCAGCACCATAGTTTGTGCTTGAGAGGGAGTTGGGGTGGCAGTGTCCAGATACTCTGCCCACCAGAGCCCAGTGGAGCTGGTTGGGAAGCCTCCTGGGGTGGGTTTAATCACTCCTGGGGAGAGAGCACTTAGAGTTACCTACAGTCCTTGGTTTTTCTTGTTTTCATCCTTTCCCTAGTCCAAGCAGCTGGTGAAGCCTTGAACATTCTTTTTTGTTTAGTGGCGGCGGGGGGGGGGGGGGGGGGGCGCGGAGGGGGGGGGGGGGGGGGCCGGGGGGGGGGGGGGGGGGGGGGGGGGGGGGGCACTTACAGAGATCAGAGGACTGGCCCGAGCCGGTTCTCACCTTTCACCGTGTGGGCTCTGGGGCTTGCACTCAGACCTTTAGGCTTGACAACAGGCAGGCACCCTCCCACTGGACCTTCTCACTGGACTAAGCCTGGAAGCCAGTGTGCTCTTTCCCTCACGTGCGACCATACACACAGTTCCTAGCACAGGCATTTCCTTCTCCGGGTCATATACAGGCAAATGAGCAAGTGTCCTGGCTAGGCTTGCCAAAGAGAGGAATGACATTTTTCTGTGCTCCTCAGTTCACAGAGACCTTCAACTGTGGCCCTACTTTGACCTACCAGGACACCAAGGGCAAGATTCAACTGCTTTTTCTTCTATAAATTAAGACACGAGGCCTTTTATTGAAATTAAAATTATTTTAAACTTATGTGTATGTGTGCCTGCAGAGGACAGAAGAGGGATTGGATTCCCTGAGGCTGGAATTAAGGCGTTTGTGAGCTACTCAACACAGGTGCTGGGAACCAAACCCAACTCCTCTTCGAGAGCAATATGTGCTCCTAACTGCTGAGCCATCCTTTCAGCCCTATGAAGTTTGAGCTCTAGTCAGACAACCTCTTCTCTCTCTCTCTCTCTAGATTAAGCCAGAATTTGCCTTTCAAACTCAGCCTCTCCCTTCTGTGACTGAGGCTTTGGCTCTTTGGCTCCCAGGTGTACATTATTTAGAATCTAGCACCAGTAGGTGTAGAAGATGTTCTCTTATAAGTGGGTATGGTAACACACACTCAATTCTGGCCCGCTGGAGATGAAGGCAGAAGAATCGGTAGTTCATGGTCATCGTTGGCTACACAGCAACTTGGACCAGCTGGGGCTATGAGACCTTGTCTCAAACGCAATACAGCACAAAAGGGATTTATTTTAACGTAAGTGAGGGTTTACGGACAAGCCTGGTTTGCATTTCCATGGGCTGGTTAGCAGGAGCCACATGTGTTAACTCACTGTTTCGGAGTCTACTTGTACTAGCTCATCCTCTCAACAGTTCCGTGATGTATTTATGTTTTGTGTGTGTGTGAGATTGGGTTTCATTTTATATCCCAGGCTAGCTACGTATTCCAGGTGATCTTGCCTCAGCCTCACCTGTGATGAGTTTATGCTCGTCTCTTTACCAGATGAGGAGAATGGAGCTTCTCCGTGAGGCAGCTTGTCAGGTGGGAGTGAGACAGCTGGCAGTTCTGACTCAGGACCTCCTACAAGCCTGTGGCTCATTCCTTACCATTTCAGTTGTCTCCTTAGAGAATATTAGCAGCCCCACCCAGACATGCGCTGTTTGCCTGATCACGAACTTGGTAGCCCTGTAAGGCCTGAAATAATTGGGCTGTTCTGAGGACCTCGAGATGCAGTGTAGTGAGCTGGCTTACACCTTTCTCTTGGTCATTAATTGGTTCTTCAACCTCTGATACTGAATATTTTGAGATCCAGAAGATAGTCTGTCCCTCCTGTCTCGAAAACACCATAAATCAGACAAGACTGTGTTTGGTATTTGTGACAACAGCTGTTCAGGCCAGGTGCAGGGGTACTCACTTTAAATCACAGCACTCAGGAGGCAGAAAACAAGCAGATCTCTGAGTTTAAGCCATCTTGGTCTACATAGCAAGATCCAGGCCAGGCAGGGCTACATAGTGAGAGTCCGTCTCAAAAAGCAAGGCAAACCCCAAACAGAACAATAAGATATGTGCTCTACAAACACCTACAGAAGCTGGACATGCTGGCACACCCTTCCTATCGTCACTCAGGAGGCAGAGGCAGGAGAATCCAGAGTTTCAAGGTCAGCTGGTCCGCACAAGCCAGCAGGGTGGCAGAGTGAAACTGTTCTCAACAACAAAGGGCAACAAAAATACCTTCAGCCTTGCCTTTAGGTTAAGATGCTTCCTTCAAAGGACCAGTTCAAAAGGCTAATAAAATAAAATAAAAACTAGTGTTTTCTTTCTCCTCCCCGTTTTGTGATTTTTTTTTTTTTTTAATGTATCTGCATGTACACCTGCATGCCAGAAATGGGTATCAGATCACATTATAGATGGCTGTGAGCCACCATGTGGTTGCCAGGAATTGAATGCAGGACCTCTGGAAGAGCAGACAGTGCTTTTAACGGCGGAGCCATCTCTCCAGCCCTCTGCTATCTTCTTTTTCTTCACATGCTTGGCAAATTTTTCTCTAAAATGAAATGAGTCGGTTACTTGTCTCACTTGGCCCTTGAGTTAAATTACTTTAAAAATATTTTATGTGCTTTGATATTTTGCCTGCATGTATGTCTGTGAGGTATCAGATTCCCCACAAGTGGAGTTACAGACAGTTGTGAGCTGCCATGAGGGTGCTGGGAATTGAACCCAGATCCTCTGGAAGAGTAGCCACTGAACCATCTCTCCAGCCCCGCCCTTGCATCTTATGGTTCAGATTTTAAAGTAGAAAATACCCTTCTAGTTGTTTTATTGATTAATTTTTTGTTGTTGTTGTTTTGTTTGAGACAAGGTTTCAGCCCTGGCTGTCCTAGAACTGGCTTTGTAGACCAGGCTGGCTTTGAACTTACAGAGATCCTCATGCCTCTGCCCCCCTAATGTTGGAATTAAAGGTGTGTGCCACCACTGCCCTGCACTTATTTAAATATTTAGTGTTTGTGTGCGCGTGTGCTGTCTGTGTGTTGTAGAGGAGGCCAGAAGAGGCCATCAGATCCTCTGGAGCTGGAGTTGCAGGTGGTTGTGAGCAGCCAGTTGGTTGCTGGGAATAGAACCTGGGTCTCCTGGAAGAACAGCCAGTGCTCTTAATTGTTGAGCTATCTCTCCAGGCCCTGTTTATTTTATTTTTATTACTGTTATTGTGTGTATGTATGCATGATGTGGGCGTGTATACTAAATCCCAAATGTTCAATTTTACCTTTAAAGACTCAGGAGCCAGGTGCTGGGGTGACAGCCTATTAGCTCAGAGAGGCAGAGAAAGCACGCAGCTGACCTTCCTCCTCACCTCCCAGAAGGAAAAAGCCCTTTCTCCTCTGGGCTGTCTTAAGAACCCTCCAAACGGAACGTCCCTTCTTTCTACTTCCTGTTTGTCTCTCTATCCATTCCCGGGGAATTCCTCTCTATGGCTTCTTCCCATGTTCACTTCCTGTGAACTGGTTGCTTGCCCCGACTCTTGACCCAGGGTTAACTTTATTTAGCTCTTGTTTACAGAAAGGTCTTGGATTAAAGGTGAATGCCAGGGCTGAGGGAACCGTACCCACCTGTTTACACCTGTTTACGATAAACCACTCCACGACTAGAAACAGGTTTTTCCAGTACACAATCTCAGGGTTCACCGTGTGATCAAATATCCTACAACGTGTGTGTGTGTGTGTGTGTGTGTGTGTGTGTGTGTGTGTACACTCATGCCAGGCTCACTCAGCAAGCACTATCATAGTTTGCTTCTGTTCCCTTGATTAAACACTGTGACCAAAAGCAACTTGGGGGAGAAAAGGGTTGTTTTGTTTTTTGTTCTTCTTACTCGTCCCTATCACATTCCATCATGAGGGGAAGTCAAGGCAGGTGTTTGGAGTCAGAAACTAAGGCAGAGACCAGGGAAGAATGCTGCTTACTGGCTTGCTCCCATGGCTTCCTACCTTGCACACACACACACACACACACACACACACACACACACACACACACACACAGATTTAAAAATAAAGCTTTAAGCAGTGGTGGCTCATGCTTTGGATCCTAGGAGGCTGTAAGTTTGAGGGTGGCCTGAACTGTAATAGTTGAGTTCTAGGCCAGCCTAGGTTAGAAAGTGAGACTGTGTCTCATGAAAGTAAATAAATAGAATATTAACTTAAATTACATACTTTTTTTTTTTTTTTTTTTTTTCACGGCAGAGGGAACACTGACAGTCTCTCACCCTTAAGAAGGTCGAAATCAAGCTATTAATAAAGTTAAGGGAAATCTACCCGTCCTGACAAA